CAAAGGATAGCCCCTAAAGAACAAGGGAGAGAGAGAAGCAGAGACTGCAGGGAAGGAGGCCAGATGAAGGCAAGAGGCCAGTTACCTGGAGGGCTGCACTCAGATGTAAGAAGAAGTCGAAGGTGCAGCAAGCCCTGACCAGTGACAAGTGTAACTAAGAACAGGCCTTTGTAATGCTTGCCAAATAAGAAAGACAGCCATTGGAGTTTATAAAAAGTCACTACACTCTGTATGCCCAACTCATGTTTGTTTTGTTTTTTAAAGATGCATGACTTATAAATATATTCCATTCTTAACTCTTGGAATATGACCATTTTTAGTCTGGTACCCACATGAATCCTTAGGCGTATGCATGTACAACATTTTCTGTTTTCCCCAGACAGTTGGTACACAGTCACAGTACACAACATAGCAGCTGTAAGTGTTATCACATCACATGCTGGAAATGTATACCAGCTATGAACATGTTTCTTGGCTAGTACGCTCTTTGAGGCAGGGATCATTTATTTCAAAATGTTTGTACAATGCCTAGCAAAAGAGGGTGCTACACAGCTAAGTTTGGCATGCTTCAATGTAATACTTAAGCTTTGTATTTTAAAAAATAAATAATTACACTGATCATTACCATTCATAAAAACTACAATTTTTTAAAATAATGGGCCCCAAATATTGCTACATTTACTCAAATTGAGTAGTATTTACTCATAGGTAGACCCGCTGACAAATGCGATAGGTTACAGAATCAAGCCTAAGGACTTGACATCCTGCAATGAGCTGCGCGTGCAGGCAGATCCCTGTACCAATATAGAGGTCATTCCTGGACTGAGGCTCCAATCCTGCAAACACTTATGCACATGCTTTATCTCACTGAAGTCAAACAGGACTACTAATGTGCTTAAAGATAACCTTGTGCATAAGTATTTGCACTATCAGAGCCTAAATTGGTAAAATTCATCGTTCTGTCCTATGAACAAAATAGGGAATTCCCATGTGCTCTCAAGAGAGCATCAAGGCTCAGCAGCCTGTTTCTTTGCTGAATCTCCTGTAATACAAACAATGCCAGATAATTACATCAGGAATTTTAAATTAAATAAAGACAAAAGGAAAAAGTATTTTTGGGGGGAGGTTGTTCTGTATAATAACTGTCCTCTAACAGTGAAGCAAGATGATGCCGTTGAACTTCAGTTTACATTCCTGGATCTCTGTCAAGATACTAATTCAGTAGTTTTAGTACAGTTAAAAGGCAACCCCAAATGCTCATCAGACAGGAAAGAAAGTTGCTAGCAGTCTCAGGCTCACACATTTTGGGCATGATCTCATTCTTACTATGATTTTTCATTTTTACTGAAATATATTTTTTAAAATGAGGCGTGCAATGATTTTTTTGGTGCATATAAATTAAAAATTCATGTAAATAATGCAAGGGCACTAAAGTAAAGCTATACAAATAAAGATATTAATAATAAAGCTAGGACTCCCTCTTTAATTCACTCTATTACATTTAGCTTTTCCAGGTAGCTTATATATTAAACCACCAGTATTTTAATGTCTAAACACAAAAAATTATATTCAGCCTTATTACAAATGACACTGTTACTGTGGGTTTAAGACAGCTTTTTATGTTGTTTGAACAGAGTTTATGGAGGTTAAATGTAAGACAACAGGAAGCATAATTTTCCCCAGGAAATTAACTACCAAAGTCATCTTCCCTTTTCAAATTTAAGAATAGCAAGATCACATCATTAAAATATACAGATTCACCAAGGGGAAGTCGTGCCTGACTAACCTAATTGCCTTCTATGATGAGATAACTGGCTCTGTGGATGAGGGGAAAGCAGTGGATGTGTTATTCCTTGACTTTAGCAAAGCTTTTGATACCGTCTCCCACAGTATTCTTGCTGCCAAGTTAAAGAAGTATGGGCTGGATGAATGGACTGTAAGGTGGATAGAAAGCTGGCTAGATCGTCGGGCTCAACGGGTAGTGATCAATGGCTCCATGTCTAGTTGGCAGCCGGTTTCAAGCAGAGTGCCCCAAGGGTCGGTCCTGGGGCCGGTTTTGTTTAATATCTTTATTAATGATCTGGAAGATGGTGTGGACTGCACTCTCAGCAAGTTTGCCGATGACACTAAACTAGGAGGCGTGGTAGATACACTAGAGGGTAGGGATCAGATACAGAGGGACCTAGACAAATTAGAGGGTTGGGCCAAAAGAAACCTGATGAGGTTCAACAAGGACAAGTGCAGAGTCCTGCACCTAGGACGGAAGAATCCTATGCACTGCTACAGACTAGGGACCGAGTGGCTAGGTAGCAGTTCTGCAGAAAAGGACCTAGGGGTCACAGTGGACGAGAAGCTGGATATGAGTCAACAGTGTGCTCTTGTTGCCAAGAAGGCTAACGGCATTTTTGGGCTGTTTAAGTAGGGGCATTGCCAGCAGATCGAGGGACGTGATCGTTCCCCTTTATTCGACATTGGTGAGGCCTTATCTGGAGTACTGTGTCCAGTTTTGGGCCCCACACTACAAGAAGGATGTGGAAAAATTGGAAAGAGTCCAGCGGAGGGCAACAAAAATGATTAGGGGTCTGGAGCGCATGACTTATGAGGAGAGACTGAGGGAACTGGGATTGTTTAGTCTGCAGAAGAGAAGAATGAGGGGGGATTTGATAGCAGCCTTCAACTACCTGAAGGGGGGTTCCAAAGAGGATGGAACTCGGCTGTTCTCAATGGTGGCAGATTACAGAACAAGGAGCAATGGTCTCAAGTTGCAGTGGCGGAGGTCTAGGTTGGATATTAGGAAACACTATTTCACTAGGATGGTGGTGAAGCACTGGAATGAGTTACCCAGGGAGGTGGTGGAGTCTCCTTCCTTGGAGGTTTTTAAGGCCCGGCTTGACAAAGCCCTGGCTGGGATGATTTAGTTGGGAATTGGTCCTGCTTTGAGCAGGGAGTTGGACTAGATGACCTCCTGAGGTCCCTTCCAACCCTGATATTCTATGATTCTACTACCCTATTTACAGATAAGCCACTGTTAAAAAGAGAAGGCATACATCGAACACTTATCTTTAATTAACGATCCAATTATCTGAACCTCAACTTAAAAATGGTTTCCAAACTAGATTAATTATAGAAATCAAGTAACATTAGGCTTCACACATTTAAATTTATGTTTTATTCCAGCCTAAAACATTAACATTCAAACAACCAATCTTTATTAAATTTATACATTGAAGCCATCAGGCCACTAGCAAATGAATTCTCCCTTCCAATAAAGTTATCAGACTAATACAACACTGATAACTGAACTACAGTCAATCTGTTAAAGATCAGCTGTTTGAAATAAACTGGCAGATCAAACACACAATCTACATTTTATCAAATTTTGCCCTACGCTCCACCCCAAATATTGTATTGGGGGAGGGATGATAGGATAGCATATGTATGCAGAGTTGTTGTAGCCCTGTTGGTCCCAGATATTAGAGAGACACACAAGGTGGGTGAGGTAATATCTTTTATTGGACCAACTTCTGTTGGTGAGAGAGAAGCTTTCAAGCTTAAACAGAGCTGAAATTGGTCTAACAAAAGACATTACCTCACCCTCCTTGTGTCTCAGGATAATAATGATTAACATAAGTAAACAATGAGAACAAGCACTGCTCAAAACAAGATGTTAAAATTACAAACTTGATCAAACCAGCTAGTAAAGTGATTTTAACAATCAACAGTTGCCTGAGGTTAACTTGTAATCTGTTTTATGCATGTCTCCAGGCCCTTAGGCCTACTGTTACTTAGGTTTATAACTAAAATATTGCTCAAAAATAGCAATGTTGATCATAGCTAAAAAGCAAGTGTTTACAGCAAGAAAAAAGGGGGGCACTAAAACACATGTGAACAGAGTGATATGTATCAATGTATTTTAAAACGGAACAACCCCTGTGATCAGGCCTCTCAGGAGTTAAAAAGGGAATGAGTCCTAAGATAGTACTTGTATAATGATCTACATTTCACTCCATCACAGTAAGATCTGCCTCTAAACTGTATATACATTAATATCTAAATAGCATTTATGAAATGTAAACCTTTTCAAACTTGCGTCTAGTCACAGATTTACACACAGATGTGTTTATTAAACACCCCAGCATCTCCACACCAAAGGTATTTGATTAAGTTGGTTTATTTATTAAACACTGCCTACGTACACAACATTACAAAACACGGAAGAGATACCGGGCCTGCCCCCGACAGCTTAGTTGGAACCGGTTCCAAGAGATGCCCAAGGCCTGCTGCACAGGAGGTGACAGATGCTTTGTACCGGATTCGGCTGCGGTGGGGTGGAGGGCCTACCCCCAGGGCTGCAAGCGTGCAGAGCCCCGAGCCCCCCGCCTTAGGTAACTCCCACTTGTGATGCGGGAACTTTGGAAGGAGCAAGAGCCAAGTCTCAAGCTCTGAAACGCCAGGGCGCTCGCCGGCCCAAGAAACCGTTTCACAGCCGGGACAGACGCGTGTCAGGGCCGGGTTCCCCCCAGCCAGCCCCGTCTGAAAATAGCGACGCAAGACTGTTGCCCAGCCGAGGACATCAAATATAATGGGTGGGGGGCGGATCATCCTCCCAACCAGAGCCGCCTTCTCTGCTCACGGGGAACCTGCCCAGGCCTGGTCTCCAGCTCCTCAGCCACAGGAGCAGCTCGCAGCTCTTCGCCCGGCACCACTAGGCCTTGCTGCGGCTTCCCGGGCCGCGCTGGAAGGAGCGGACTGGGCGCCACCGGGAGGCGGCTTTGGGGGAGGCCCAGCAGCGTTACGAGGCGGCACGACCTCCCTGCACTGCGGGGCCCAGGAGGGGAGAATTATGACCCCGCCCGGGGCCCAGCCGGACGGATTCTCCCTACCCCGTACGGAGGAGTCTCCTCAGCCCACCCCCGCTACACAGGAGGCCCAGCCGGGCGGGAAGGCCGTTATACCGCCTGCGGGGGGGCCCGGCTGGGCGAGGGGGCGGCCGCACTTACTCTCATTTAACACCTCCAGCAGCTCGGCGCAGCTCTCACACATTGTTCATTAACAGCAGCAGCCGCCGCCGCCGCCTCCTCCCGACCATTGATTGATCCACTCGGTGCTGATTGATGATTGATGGGGGGGAGAGGGGCCGGTCTGGGAGGGGGGAGGGGGCGGCTGATCAATGCAAATGAGCCTGTGGCGGCGGCGGCGGCGGCGGGGAGGAGAAGCCGAGTCACTCACTGGCTCCCAGGGACTCCACGCGCCGCCATTTTGCTGTGGGGGAAGGAGGAGGGGGGCAGGGCGCTCGGGCTCAGCTCGGCTATTTCCGACCAGGCAGGGGACGGAGGCGGCCGAGTCCCTCCGCCCTCGCCCCTCCCTCCAGGGCCGGCCCTCTCCCCCTCCCACCCCGGACTGAGCGGCGGGGGGGTGGGGCGGAAGTTGGGGCCGGAAGCGTAAAATGGCGTCGGCTGCAGCTTGCTCCTCGCTCAGGCTGCCCCTCCCCCACCCGAGGGCCAGGGCACGGGGGGAATCCCCTCAACTCCCTCTCCCCACCCGAAGGCCCTTCATGGCTTCATGGAACAGCGATCGGCTCTGCCTGGAGCCATTTCATTTCATGATTCTTACTCCTGTAATCAGTGAGAAATGTAACACTTTTAGAACAAACGCCAGGCTGTGGAACAATCTTTTATTTCTTTAACACTGCAATTAAAAAAAAAAATGCAAAGTTTGCCCTGGAATCTAGAACTGACATCTTGCCTTTGCAGCTACCCCTGTGCAGTCACTCGCCCTAATCACATACTCAGCACAGGTCACTCAACCCACACATTCATTTGAGACATACGTTTTTCAGATAAAGCTTGCCGTTCTCAGCACCGGAAGAGGGCACCTTTAGCCTGAATGTACCTTTACCAAAATGTACATATATTGTTCCAGTGTAAGGTATCACATGGTCTGCTTTGACTGCTCTTTCCCTAAACCCAGTAGTTTCTAGATTTTAAAAATTGCCTTTTCATTCGTGTTGTACCACCCTGTGGTGAAGTAGTATATTGTTCTACATAGATTTACATAACTGATTGCCCCATAGCATGGGAATAGAATAGATGCAATGCAAAAGTTGGGATTTTGTTTAAACAAACAAAAACTTGGCCAATATTTTTAAAAGACTATAGTGATTTTGACTGCCTTAGTGATTGAGTGCTCAAATGGTGAAAACTTTAAAGGGTCTATTTTCAGCACTGTTTGAAACAGTGCAGTGTTAAAGCACACTAGGGTAATTTTAGTATGCACTAGCAGGATCTACACAGACCAATTAGCAGGGAACAGGTTAGTGCATTCACAACCACATAATGCACACTGCATAATGATTTGCTACTCCGCTAGATATACCCTGAAGTCCAGAAGTACTAGTCACTTGGAAATCTTGTCTACACCTAAACAACAGCAAAGGTGTAAATTCCTCCTCCCACTCCCTGTTCCTTTCAATAAAGTGTTAAGATCAAAGCACAGTTTGTATATTTAAATGCTAAATTTATTAAGCCTAGAGCAAACGCCCTTTAAAAACAATGGTGGGTCAAATTACTCCATTGTAAGAAATAGGTCAAATTCTATTCTCAGTTACAGCTACTACCCCTGGATATAACCCCCATCGATTTCAATCAACTTTCCTGTTGCTAGTTGTTATCCAATTACTTAACTAGAACAGCTATAGTCCTCACAACTATTCCAGAATAGCTCCCTTTGGAGTATAAGGCCTGGTCTACATTATGAGTTTCGTTCAAATTTAGCAGCGTTAAATCAAATTAACCCTGCACTCGTCCACACAACGAAGCCATTTACTTCGAAATAAAGAGCTCTTAAAATTGATTTCTGTACTCCTCCCCGACGAGGGGAGTAGCGCCGAAATCAACATTGCCATTTCGAATTAGGGTTAGTGTGGCCACAATTCGACGGTATTGGCCTCCGGAAGCTATCCCACAGTGCACCATTGTGACCACTCTGGACAGCAATCTGAACTCAGATGCACTAGCCAGGTAGACAGGAAAAGCCCCGCGAACTTTTGAATTTCATTTCCTGTTTGCCCAGCGTGGAGAGCACAGGTGACCACACAGAGCTCATCAGCACAGGTAACCATGCAGTCCGAGAATCGAAAAAGAGCACCAGCATGGACTGTACAGGAGGTACTGGATCTGATCGCTATATGGGGAGAGGATTCTGTGCTAGCAGAACTACGTTCCAAAAGACAAAATGCCAAAACATTTGAAAAAAATCTCCAAGGGCATGATGGAGAGAGGCTACAATAGGGACTCATATCAGTACCGCGTGAAAGTTAAGGAGCTCAGACAAGCCTATCAAAAAACAAAGGAGGCAAACGGTCGCTCCGGGTCAGAGCCGCAGACATGCCGCTACTACGCTGAGCTGCATGCAATTCTGGGGGGGGAGGCCGCCCCCACTACCTCACCCCTGACCGTGGATTCCAAGGAGGGGGTAATCTCAGCCATGCCTGAGGATTCTGCGGACGGGGAAGATGAGGAGGAGGACGACGACGAGCTTGCGGAGAGCACACAGCCCTCCGTTCTCCCCAACAGCCAGGATCTTTTTCTCAGCCTGACTGAAGTACCCTCCCAAGGCATTATCCCAGACCCTGAAGCCGTGGAAGGGACCTCTGGTGAGTGTACCTTTGTAAATATAAAACATGGTTTAAAAGCAAGCTTTTTTTAATGATTAATTTGCCCTGAGGACTTGGGATGCATTCGCGGCCAGTACAGCTACTGGAAAAGTCTGTTAACGTGTCTGGGGATGGAGCGGAAATCCTCCAGGGACATCTCCATGAAGCTCTCCTGGAAGTACTCCAAAAACCTTTCCAGAAGGTTTCTGGGCAGTGCAGCCCTATTCCGTCCTCCATGGTAGGACACTTGACCACACCATGCTAGTAGCAAGTAATCTGGTATCATTGCATGACAAAGCCTGGCAGCATATGGTCCCGGTGTTTGCTGGCATTCAAGCAATATCCGTTCTTTATCTCGCTGTGTTATTCTCAGGAGAGTGATATCGTTCATGGTAACCTAGTTGAAATACGGGAATTTAATTAAGTGGACAGAGGTGGCCGTTCCTACTGGGCTGTTTGCCTGTGGCTGAAAAGAAATCCTTCCCTGCAGTTAGCCAAGTATGTGTGTGGGGGGGAGGGCGGTCATTGGCGCTGAGCTTTTCACGTTTGGCTAGCAGGGATCTTCCCTGATACCAGCCATGCGGTGGGGGGAGGGGTAAAGCGATCATCCCAGAGAATTGGATGGAGGGGTAGTTTGGTTTCTGCTGCTGCACGTTAACAGGAAAACCGCAGCACTCAACGGGCTTTGCTTGGTATGTGGGAAAGGAGGGCGCTGCTTTTAGGAAGGTTGCAGAAGCCGAAAGACAATGGCTTACCATGGCCGCATGCAAGCCGAATTCTGTTGCCCGGACCTGCGTCTGTGATCTCTAACACCAAAGCCACAGGCACTCAATATAAAGATGCAAAATGCGACCTTGTACCGAAATCACATGTACTATGTAATGTGAATAGTGTTGTTCACTGTGAAAGAGTATAAGCATTGTTCTGTAAAATGTATCTTTTTAAATACTTCTCTCCTTTTTCCCTCCCTCCCGCAGCTGCAAATTTTTCAAGCCTCCCTCCTCCGTCGTGAAGGCTATCTCAGATAAGGCAGCGAAAAAAAAGGACATGAGACGAAATGTTCTCCGAAAATCATGGAATCGATCCGCAATGAAAGAGCTCATCTGAATGAGTGGAAGGACACGGTATCAAAATACAGGAAAGATGACAGTGAACGTGAGGCCATGAGGGACGCTTGAGATGAGAGGTGGCAGGCTGCAATGCTGGGGCTGCTGCATGATCAAACGGACATGCTCCGGCATCTGGTGGAGCTTCAGGAACAACAGCAGGATCACAGAGTGCCACTGCAGCCCCTCTATAACCTCCCTCCCCCCTCACCATGTTCCATAGCCTCTTCACCCAGACGTGTAAGAACGTGGGGGGGGGGGAGGCTCCATGCACCCTCCCATTCCACCCCAGTGGACAGCCCAAGCAAAAGGCTGTCATTTTGAACTTTTTTAGTGGCCTTTTCCTTCCCTCCTATCCTCCTCCCAAACCCCACCCGGGCTACCTTGTCAGTTCTCTCCCTATGTTTATAATCAATAAATAAAGAATACATGATTTTTAAACTATAGTTACTTTATTTCCTTTGAAACCAAGCTGTGATTGAAGGGGGAGGGTGGTTTGCTTACAGGGAATGAGTCAATCAACGGGGCGGGTTTTCAACTAACAGAACTTTCACACCGTAGCCTGGCCAGTCATGAAACTGGTTTTCAAAGCTTCTCTGATGCGCAGCGCTTCCTGGTGTGCTCTTCTAATCGCCCTGGTGTCTGGCTGCGCGTAATTAATAGCCAGGCGATTTGCCTCAGCCGCCCACCCCGCCATAAGGTCTCCCCCTTACTCTCACAGAGATTGTGGAGCACACAGCAAGCAGCAATAACAATGGGAATATTGGTTTGGCTGAGGTCTGAGCGAGTCAGTAACGTGCGCCAGCGACCCTTTAAACGTCCAAATGCACATTCTACCACCATTCTGCACTTGCTCAGCCTGTAGTTGAACAGCTCCTGACTACTGTCCATGGCTTCATGAGCCATGGCATTAAGGGGTAGGTTGGGTCCCCAAGGATAATTATAGGCATTTCAACATCCCCAACGGTTATTTTCTGGTCTGGGAAGTAAATCCCTTGCTGCAGCTGTTTAAACAGAGTAGTGTTCCTGAAGACGCGAGCGTCATGAACCCTTCCCGGCCATCCCACGTTGATGTTGGTGAAACGTCTCTTGTGATCCACCAGTGCTTGCAGCACCATTGAAAAGTACCCCTCGCGGTTTATGTACTAGCTACCCTGGTGCTCCAGTGCCAAGATAGGGATATGGGTTCCATCTATTGCCCCACCACAGTTAGGGAATCCCATTGCAGCAAAGCCATCCACTATGACCTGCACATTTCCCAGAGTCACTACCTTTGGTAGCAGCAGCTCAGTGATTGCTTTGGCTACTTGCATCACAGCAGCCCCCACAGTAGATTTGCCCACTCCAAATTGATTCCCGACTGACCGGTAGCTGTCTGGTGTTGCAAGCTTCCACAGGGCTATCACCACTTGCTTCTCAACTGTGAGGGCTGCTCTCATCTTGGTATTCTGGTGCTTCAGGGCAAGGGAAAGCAAGTCACAAAGTTCCATGAAA